CTCCAGATCTGGTTCATCGAATCAATCACATGTATTTAATTCCATTTTTAATTTGGAACAATAGTTGTCATTCTGATTTTCAAGTTCTTCGAGTTTTTTTTAACCAACACTAGAACAATATATGACATTCAGATTTTCGATCCAATTTTAATTTCCAAATAATATATAATGTCATCCCCTCCCCCCAAAAAAAGTTACACGTATATTGTCATCCAAATTATTATGTATTTTACACTATACCTGAGTAGAAAAATAGAAATTTCAAATTCCGTCAATTCCTTTCGAAAAACAAAAATATATATATATGAACAGGTTTTTTCATTCTAATTTTAATTTTTTTTTTTTTTGAGGAAAAACGAGATTTTATTAGGCTATACTAGCCAAATCCGAAGGCAAAACAAGGCCCTCATTACAACTCGAGTCATAGTTTGTTGCTAGAGCGTGGGCAAGCATAGTGCCCGAACGCTTAACAAAAGAAAATGAACAAGAATTAAAATATCTAGCAATACGATGGCCTTCTTCGACAAACGCTCCATAAGAGGTATGCGATTGGGATATGTCCTGCAGGGTGTTGATAACTTGAAGATTATCTCCTTCGATCACTACCGTTGCCACACTCATATTCTTGGCCTTCACTAATGCAAACAATGCAGCGTGTGCCTCGCCCTCGATAGGTAGTGGACGACCTAGAATCTTCTTAGTACTCCGCCATAGACATTTTCCATTGTAATCTCTAGCAATATTTGCCATGACATAGTGGTTTCCACCCCGTGGAAAAGCTACGTCGAAATTTACTTTCACACAGCCGAACTCAGGCGGTTTCCAAGAAGCCGGGTGGAAGGGTACTGTACCATGTAAGTCCTTGGTACATATCTGTTGGAAAGTTGAGAGGTAAGTCTTGCACCAATTCACAAGACCACCCAGCAAAGTATCTTTCTCTCCATGAAGTTTCTTATTACGTAATTCCCAAATCTTCCACATCACCATCACCGCTAAGCTAAACTCTGTCGGCTCCAATTTTTTATGCAATAATTCTATCCATAGCCAGCCCGTAGTTGGATTAGTGTCTTCAATAACATCAAAAGGTGGGCGTCTCCAAATAGCCTTGATTCTGCAGCAAGAAATCAAGGCATGCAAGCTCGTTTCCTCGACACTGCATCCCTCTGGACAAAAAGGTTCTGCCATACTCTTCCGACGAAAAAGTTCGACTTTCGTGGGTAAAATATTTGAGCAGAATCGCCAAAGAAAAATTTTGGCTTTCGGGGGTATCGGAAGATTCCACACAAGTTTCCACCTTTGGCTCGTCGTTCCACTAGCAGCTCCGCCACCAGCCATTATTTCCGGCTTCCTTGTGACAAGCATGTGATAGCAAGATTTAACCGAAAACTTCCCATCTTTAGTTCCATGCCACATCCATCTGTCTGCCACTACCAAGTTACCAATTGGAAGCGCCAAAATCCGTTCCTTATCGAAAGGCCAGAACCATTGGTCGAGTAACTCCAAATCCCACGTTCTCGAACCCTGGTGAATAAGGTCTGAAACCCTATCCGGAAATGAGGAGAACTTTGGTCGAGGTGTGAGAATCTTACGACTCCCATCCTCAGCTAACCAAGGGTCTGCCCAAATGGAGGTTGTTTTCCCATCGCCGATTCTTTTC